AGGAAATAGAAAAAATGGAGTTTAGCTCGGAGTTGAAACGGAGCTGGAGCTGAGTCCTTCGGAGTTGGATTTGTAGTTCAGATTCTTAGCAGAGTTGGAGCTGTACCTAGCCGGAGTTGCCCAGCTCTTATTCAAACCTTCGTAATTGAGTCGATAGAATAAAGTCTCCTTTCCGAAACGGTGAAAACCACAACTCTTTATCGCCGTTCTGACTGATTTTGCCGTTTTTGACTTATGACAAAAATAATCGATACCATTCTTGTCTTTCTTCTGTAGTAGTTTATTCTATCAATTCATAAATACAACATGTATTACGTTTTCTCTCGTTTAGATAATGCATTTTTTTGTATTCGTAACGGTCCACTTGTAAATTCTGTGGACTACTATGTACTAGTGTATCTGATATTAATCAGTTGTCTTTGTGTTTGTTGTGGTGGTGATGGTGACCATGATACTAGATGAAATATTTGACGTATTGATGAAATCAATATTTGTCTAAATATTGTACCGCTTAGCACAAAAACATAAAATGGCAGTGTAACACTTATATAAGCCAGAAGAGTTAATAATTGATCAAGAAATGCTTCGATTGTTAACTGTGTTTCAGTTTTACTCATCGATGCTGTAATGAATGATTGTACTCGTCGTATATTGATTGGTAGACGAAATATTGTCAGCAGTAGAACTTGTGCAAGTAACATTCGTGTAAATTGTCTATCTGTTCGCCTATGTCTGTTATGTGATATTGAATTACTAGCGGGTACAATTCTCCGATCTACTTTCTTGATATTTACAATTATTAAACATCCAAATATGATTATGAATAATGATGGTATAAATAAATAGAGGAATGCTTGCACAATACTGTTGTAGAACAAACATGTTTGATTTCTAGTTGTACATTGTAGATCAACTATATCATAACAATAGAAACTTTGAACGTTGATTAGTGATAATATGAGGATAAGAATTGTTGAACGATAGGCATTTTTTAAATTACTCTGATTTCGTCTTATTTGTTGTCGACAAGATAGAAAGTATCGATCGAGCATTGCCAAGGCTATGGACCAGTAGAATATAATCGAGGATGAACTGAGTAGAAAATAACGGATCTTACATATGAATACTGAACGTGTAGTTGGATCTGAATTGTACGCTAATAGACATCGTGTTAAACAACCGCTATACAACACTATTAAACCAGATATGGATGCACACAACAGATAAATTGAAAATGGATTTCGTCGTACTATCGGTCGAGTAAAGATGAATAAATTCATTGCATTGCCAAAAGTACCAATAAATAGAATTACAATTAATAAATATTGATTCAATAGTAATGATACACTTGTTGTAATCGATGATAAATCAGACATGATCGTCTGTGTACGAAATAAAATGAAAAGTATAGAATGATATTTTTATTTTCGTTATAAGAAATGTATTATTTATGCGAACTTTAACTATATTCTAATCAGGTTTGAAAGTTGTATTATGATTATCATCCGATGATACTCTTTTTCATTGTATAGAAAATTAAATTTTCTTTTGAAGTTATCGGTTTTTAAAGCGTGAACTGTTCAGTAAATCGAGTAAAAAAACTAAGGAATTAAGCAGATAAATTTGATCGTCACTGTATATGAGAGAAACGTAACTTTCTGGTACAATCGATAAAAAAAAATGAAAGTGTTCATAAAGAGAATTTAAATGGTACGTTTTGTTCCCCTGTCTTTGCCGAGTATCCTATAAAAATTTCCCAACTGCCAGACTCATACTGGCTGAGTTAGGAGAGAGACAATTTTCAGTTTTTGCCCTA